ACACACGTCTGAGATTTCATAAATGGAACCTGCAGCAAAATGCCACAGTGTCGAGTTCTCCCATTCCGAGTTCCTGCCTCCCATGCCCTTGTCTCAGTATTCCCAGTTTTCTGCACCCTAAAGGCCAGCTGGAATTCCACACCACTGAATGTGCTCGGTACTCATTGAGGTGCTTTCCTCAAAACTATAGGATTGCTTTTCTAAAGATCCTTTGTGCTTCTGCAAACCCTGTTGATACATCCCTTTTAGGGATATATCCCTCTGTATCCCACTCTCTCTCTTAGGACAGAGAATTCCTCAGAAATACTTAGGTATTTATTTAAGGTACCATCCTATGCATGTTTAGAAAGAACACGATCCAACAGCTCTCAGCATTCCTCAGCCTCAAAAGTTCTAGCAGAAAGATTATCCCAGCTATCCCTGACTTGGATATCACCATCACTATGAGCAGGGAAGGTTGTACTCCTTCATAATCAGTAGAAAATCTAAACAGACTTCAGTTTAAAAAAAAGTTTTCCAAATGTTGGTGATGAGTGAAAGGGATATCAGAGCAAATTACACATCTATTCAGGATCACTGAAGCCATTAAACATGTGATAACATCCTCATTAAAAAATATCCAACGTACTTGGTTTCATTAACCTAGCAAGCAAATCTTGACCGAACCTGGCAGTCAGACCACCAACAATTCCATCTTACTCCTTGAATGGCCTTTGTACAGAAGGGCCTCAGCTCACTGCCTCCCATCTTCTGATACCCACTTTAATTTAGCACTCTGTAAAATCATTTCCCTCAGACTCCATTGTGTTGCTGCTACAAGAAGAGCACGACTGTTTTGACTCTAGTCCTTGTCACATAACGGCGGCTGAGCTCTCGAGGTGTTTCTGAGCTGATCGCTGCTGCCGCCGGCCTAACATCAGGTGCCGCAAAGTGCACCTCTGGAGCCTAGATCAGGTCCTGGCCCAGGTCAAAGATGCCTGTGTTGGGGGGGGGGACACTCCATTTGTTCCCCAGAATCCTCTGGTCTTGGGAGTTGGGTGACCCCAGAGAACCAGTCCTGCCTGCCAGATCTGCCTCGTGCCTTCTGCCTGAGCAGCTTTTTGCTGAGGGAGGCCACTGAGGCCTTCAGCTTGCAGATTTGGGCACAGGGCCAAGCACCAGCCCAGTCCCAGCTGGACACACTGGTCCACCTCTGTGGAAGAAGGGACTGGGATTGTGCGGGGTTCTTGCTCCTGTGGCAAAGCTCTGCATACGGATGCATCTATGTGCGTAGGCTCCCTTTTGCACTGATGCTGGAAACAGAAATGCCCAGGACATGGTCTGTGGGCGCAGCAGAGCCAAGGCAGGGCTGGCAATGCATGGTCCGTGGGTGGTTCTGTGGGTCCAGCCACTGTATGGAGAAGGTCTGGACAGACCTTCCGAGGTCCAGGCCCTTGAGCACATGCAATGTGGATGGATTCCGTCAACAGGTCTGCCACTGTGCATGCTTACTTCAGGGAAGGATCAGACCCTCTCACTTCAGCCTCCCATGCAATACCTCTCTAGAAAGCCCATAAGCTCGGTCGGCATCCCATCTTCAACAGTGTCTTACCATGTTTATGGTGCTTTCTGGAACGCTTTGCAATCCATAGATCAGCCCACAAAGGGGAATGCTTGGTCTTTATTATTGTATGGCAGGTTCTTCATTGCCAGCCCACTTCAGGGTGAAGAACGGCTCTCTGAAATATGTATAGCACACCGGCACCTTTGGTTTAGTGGTGCAGCCCTCTTCTTTATTTCTGTTCTGCCCAAGTGAAATAGCCGATGTGCGATCTTCTAGCATGATGGACCCTGAGAATCCAGAGGCCTTGATATCTAATGTGGTAAACAATCATGACAGAGACCTCAATGCAAGATGATGGGATCCTTATAAAGCCATGGAGCTGTCGTGCTCCTATTTTCATCACCCTTCAGGTTCGCTTAGTTGAAAAAAGGGAAAGACATTTCAAATTGCTGCCACAAGAACAAAACCTCCTTTTGTATGACAGCTTTTAAAATAATTCAGGGTAAGGCTCATGGATACATGAGAAGGAAGCCGTGGCTTACCATCAGCGGCTTTATGGGAGTGCAGTGATGGCTCTGAGAGTTCCGCATGCACAGGCATCAGCTGATCTTGCCGTCTCATTACTGTATTTGGGACAAGTTTGTTCACAGTTTGAGGTGGCAGCGTTTTTTCCTAATCTATATTACATGATGTGTGGTGCAAAGCATATGGGCAGTTGCAAGAATTCTTTAATCTCAAAAAAAGAGTAAAAGGACCGTGGATACACACTCACACCAGACAATAGATGATGCATAGAATTTGACGCTCAGCCATAAATTTACAGGACAGCTGCATTAATGAGAATGTAAACATGCTCTTGAGGACGTGCAGATACACGTCTGCACTGCTCCCTTTAAAAAGCATTGTGCTTAAGGTGATCGGAAGCATCTGTGATGTGTGGCCTGTGATGTGTTTGCACATGGTTGATCCTGTAGCTAATTATTAGGTGACGCACACATACGTGCGAGCAGGGGGTTAAGGTGCTGTTTCACCGGATGTGTTCTCCATTGGACTGTCAGTTGGGGAAAAGGTAGGACCCCCACACCAAGGGAGCTCCCATTTTACTCTTCAGATAAGTTATTTAGCTCATCATTTTGCTTAATTGAATGGTGGCACAATCTACATACTTTAGTTAAAACCATAAAATGTGAACTTTAGTAGCTTTGAGAGAATGGATTAGGATGGCAGCAAAAGGAAATTATATCTAGACCTTCACCTCCAAGAGGACTAGAAGTCAGCAACAAAATAAGAACAGAAGATAATATACTTTGGAATCCTTGTCAGCTGTCTTCCTGGGGTATGTGCTACCTTTCTTGAATTCAACATTACATTTTGAAGTTTTGTTTAAACCATTACAAAATTGAGGTATTGTCCAAGTAAATTTAACAAAAAAGCAGAGACCTAATATACATTTCTAGTCAAAGCTTTAGGAGAGCTTAGAGGTCTGTTTTGCAGCATGGTTTCCCTTTTTCCCATCCAGGCAACCTTCCAGGACTGAATATGAACAGAGGAGATGGTCTGTGTCCAACACAAGCAGGGCCACCCTCTCCGTCACGCACATACGGCTCATCCGCTCACTCACGTGCACATCATTCACATGCACACATGCTGGCATGAAAGTGGCAGCACCAATTTCCACACAGGCAAAGAACATCCAGCTCTCTGCTGCACATGCTTTTCTGGGTGTGCTTTTAAAAAACAAGCTGCCCTCTTGGTTCTTGGCCAATTATGTAGGTCCACTTTCCCTCCTTTAAATAATACTAGACTTGGATTGCAGTGGTGAAGACAGCACTGAAAATCTGCAAGGGAAATAAAAACCCTTCAAAAGTTGCCCGACTACATCATTGCTCTTATTTTGCCTCTCACACTTCAAGCATGATGTGCTTTGATGCATAGCATTTTCTTGCCCCTTATCTCACGAGTTCATTCTTTCTTTCTCCCTATATAATAGAAATCAAACTTGTATTTTATGCTACTTTCTGAAACATTATTCCTGGCATTGTCCTAGGTCCTGCCCAAATTTTAGCATGGGCACACAGTTCCGATTACTGACATCAGAGAAAGCGAGTGGGGGATCACACCGCATCACAGAGGTGACTTCATGGTGATTTGCATAATGGTCCAGAGCCACTGCCATATAAGAAGGGAAGGCAAAGCAATCCACAAAAGAGGACTCCAGCAGTTCTATTGGATGTCACACGCGATTCAAAAGAAGACGGGGAAACTCTGAAGCTCAGACAAGCAACTAGCTGCAGTGTGAGCTGAAGCAACTCTTTGGAAACCTCAGCCAAGAAACAAAGCAGCAGGGCAGAAGGTAATCTCCCTTTCTATTTCCATTTCTTTGCCAGGTTACCTGTATTAAGTTTTCCCTTCTTACAAAGAAGAAAGCTAAGCAACATTTTGCAAGTCTATATGCAAATAGAGAGCTCTTGTTCGGCTGCAACATTCTACTGTTTATTGTAAGGAAAATGCCTGTTTTGAATTGGAGTGGTGGCTTTGTAAAACTTTAATTCAGAAGGTGTATATCTCCTTTAACTAGCAATGCTTTCTATTTTAAAGAGGTCAGCTTCAATTACTAAGCAGCAAAATAACTCCAGCTTGGTTTGATGAGAAGAGATGCCTTAAAATTTACAATTGCTGACTTGCCTGATTCCAGATCGGGAAATATATATCAATGGCATATTAAAAGAATGTATAGTTACTTTTCTGTCCTCAGCCAAAAAATATAACATTTAATAAAAGTTAAGTTTTCATGCAAAGTGTTTTTTATATTGAAAAATGTTGAAAGCTACTAAAACTATTCAGTGGAAATACTAATAATGATTCCACTGATTTTCCTGAAAGTAGGACCAAGGCTGTGCTGATATAAAGTGGCCCTTTAGGAATGGAATACATTTTATGCAAACCATAATAATTTTATGTAGTTGCTCTATTTTATGGACCTGTGTGTTTTGCTTTTGTTATTCATAATAGGTACAGCATGAAACTAAATCTGACCTGATGTTTTAAAATGAAGGCTAAAAAATGTTATATCTTTGGCAACTAAAATGCTTCAGCTCACGACCAGTATTCAGCCATTTATCTATCCATGGGTAGAAGCAGATATATAGGAGTGCTTCATTAAATGAAGATCTTAAAGCGCCACAAGGCTGCATTTTCATACTGAGCAGCCCTCAACTATGCTCCAAGGCAGCAACCCAATTCATTTGAAGACTTTCATGCAAACTGTGAGAAAATTAAAAGCGACAAGTGTTCAGTTCCCTGGGCAACTTCAACAGGAATGGGAAAAAAAGGAGCTTCCACTTGACTCCTGGACATACCATGTTCCTCTGCATTATGAGGAGTGCTGCATTATTCACCGTGTCTTTGTTCCATTCTCTGTCACCCTGTTCTGCTTGCAGGACCGTCAAGCCCTGCGATGCCATCGGCTCAGCTACTCCTGCTGCTCTGCTCCCTGGCTTTTGCCAGCGTCTTGGGGCAGCCATTTCCAGAGGGTGGTGAGAATGAGGAAGAGAGCCACCTGGGCGACATCATCCAAAGGGCAGAAAGCATCATCTTGAGATCTATTTTTAAGAAGGTAGAAGATGAGGATGAGGATTCCAACAAAGGTAAATGTGATGGGGGAGGCGGGGGCTTCTGTGACAACCTAACAACTACAGGGCCAGTTGATTCCCTTGGGGGGCGATCCTGTGCATGTTTAGACAGGAAAACAAAAGTCCTACAATCCCCAGCATGCCCTACCTGGCATGGGCCGAGATTACACCCTTACTTTATTGATTTGGATCTCCCCTTTCTGCTGAGAAAGGTCCTCAAAGCCATTTGTATTTTGGGGCAACCAGTGACAGCTATTAGGATGCAACAAGCACCTCTCTCACTTGCCGGTTGCTGAGAAAGACACAGCCCTAGTTTAAAGCAAGTTTTGCATTTATTGTCTCTGAGTTTGACATGAGATGGGCCCCTCTAGCAATGGGCCCCCTTACTTGCTCTTGCATTCATTCAGTGCCTATTATGATCAAAAGGCTTTATGTTTGACGCTCAACATCTCCTGAGAGGGCTGAGAAAGACTCTTGTCTGAACCCTTAGAAAGCCACTGCCGGTCAGGGAGACCCGTACTAGGCTACATGGACAAAGTATAACAAGGGTTCCCGCACACAGCTTCCCATAAAAAGCAGCTACTATATACACATAGTGAATGCAGCCTTCCTGGAAAGATGTGCATCTTTCCGTGGACCTGAGGGCAGCAGGATAAAGTTCGTCTGTGCATGAAAATCATAGAATGTTCCAGGGATTCTGCAGGTTGTCTGGTCTCTGCACAACGCAAGATCTACCTTGTCGCTTGCGACTATGGCATCCCCGACAGGCGACCATGCAGCTTCTGCTTAAATACCTCCAGTGAAGGACTGATCGGTTCTAGCACTGTGACTTAATTATAGGTAATTTGCTTCTGATTACAACTATCCAGATATATTTTCTTGACTGTTCAGAAGCTCAGCAAGCTAGGAAATTGGGGGCACTTTCTGCTCCATAAGCTTCAAGGACGATGGAGATAGATTTTTTCCCCCTGTAGATCCCTGAGTTCTGGCCATATCTTGGGGTTTGATGCTCACAGCCAGTCCAAAATATTTTGCTGCCTGAGTCAAGCCCCATTCTAGGTTCAGAAGTCAACTGGACTGGCAGCTGAATCTTACTTGAACACTGCAAGGGGCAGATTCTTCAGTTCACCTGAGCAAAGTAGGTTAAAGGAGATGCAAGGTAGGCTGCAGGTCACTCCTAGTTCTGTCCTCCAGTATCTTCCTCCACTTGCCCATGCTCAGCATCCACTGTTTGAGGCAACTGCCCTGCTCAGTCTGATAGGAGGGCAGCCCTACCAGTGCTTACACTGGATCACCTCTCCACCCTGTCCTGCCTTTCCTGCATGAACAAGCAATCCTTGTGCGCTTAGAAATGAGAGGGCTTCAGCTACAATCCTGTGCGTACCCATTTCAGAATAAGCCCCACCAGATGCAGTGGGACCTGTTTCTGAGTAAGCATCACTCAGCATTAATTCACCTGGGATGAAGGTGAGGGCAGAGAGCGTGTGGGAGGGAAGGCTCCTAGAAAAAATATGTGGGACAGAGAGGGTGAAGTCTGACAGCAAAAATACAGGTTGGAAATAAAGGTCTGGCACGGGGGAGAGAGAAATTGTACTTTTGTGCTAGAGCTATTTAGTACAGTTGACACGTTCCATTTCCACAGTTAGCTGGAAAGAGAATTAAAATGGAGGATGAATCAGCTCCCATTCTGGAAACCAAACTGTCTGGGAATGGTGGGAATTGTAATCCAACAAAACCTGGGGACTCAGTCTTGGGAAACAATGCTCTAACTCAGGGATAGGCAATTTTTAAGGGCTGTAGGAATGTTTGACAATTTGAGAAACTTTCCTGGGCCCCACAACAAAATGTTGTGGGCGCTACGGAAAAGAACAAGAAACCTGCCCAAAAGAAGAGTACAAGGCAGAAGTGTTGTGCCTCTGCCCCAACACACGAAGCAACAGCTTTGAAACCACAGTTTTCAGTGCCAATAAGTTTATCATCAGGAAAATTGTTAATTTTTAAAAAAGTAGGCCAACAGGGCACCTTAACAAGAATCCAGAAAGGTGTCTAGGAATGCATTGGTGCACAGGGGCCCCACGTTGTCCAGCCATGGCCTAGTATCTACCAACCAGCCTACGAACTCATACCCTTGCCCTGACCACAGTGCTTCCTGTTCTACCCCACAAAGAGCTGCTTGGTCCAACTGCTCCTAAGAGAAGCTGCCCAATGACCACTTAGGTTTTCCATGGCCTTTGGCTGGTACAGGAAGTGACCAGGACCACTTAAGGGCAGCAGGAATCACATAATCTCTAGGGTGGATTAATGCTGCATGTTTTCTTTGGCAGAGCTGGGTGCTTCTCAGCTGGATTGGATGTCCAAAAGGCAGCACCCAGGGAAGCGATCTCTAAATGATCTAGAGAAGAGGCAGCATCCTGGAAAAAGAGAGGAGGATAACGAATTTGATCATGACCTAGAACTGCAGAAGAGGCAGCATCCAGGCAGAAGGTCCCTGTGGGAACAATACCTTGACATCCCCAGCAGCCAGCTAGCATATCTGAATGAACTATCCAAGAGACAGCACCCTGGCAAGAGGTATCTGGCTTACAGCAAACGGCAACATCCTGGCAAAAGAAGCTGGGATGATGAGGTAGAAGAGGGTGAACTGATCTTGGAGAGGCGACAGCATCCAGGCAAGAGGAACCTGGCATCAGAGAGTCTGGACTATAAAGTCCCTTGCGACCCTCAGGATTCCCTCGAGTGCAGCAAAAGCAGATTGCTGCTAGAGTTGCTAGATAACGTGAGCAAAGGTGGCATAGATGAGAAGCAGCAACAGCCTGGAAGGAGGTCTCCATTGGATGAGGAGGTGGAGGCCGAGGAGTGAGAAATTGCCCCTGTGTGTATGTGTGTGCGTTCATTGTCTACATTTGTTTGAACAAACCCCGATCTGTTTAAAGTTCTGCTCATAGCTGTTTTGACTCTCTGCTTGCTCACCTGTGCTGCAGGTAGTTCTTGGCAGTGTGTTGCTCCTTCCTGGTGGACCATGGTCCAGATGCAGCAAGGCATTGGCTGCCCTGGCGGGTGGTTTCCGGGAGCAGCACATTGCACATGTCTCCCTACTGCTTAAAAGGATTGTGTTCAGGGATGATAATTCTGATTTTTCTCTCTCCACTGACACACTGTCCAAAGAGATGTACGGGACGGAAATACTTTAAGAGGAATATTGTTAGAATTTACATGTGTTGGATGGGCATTAAAAAGGGCCATCCAACTGCAGTGAGAATTGCCAATGGCATGCTTCGTACTCATATCTGAATATGCTGCCATTACAAAGACGCATGCTTTTAAGCTTAGCTTTTTGCAGCCGTTTCCTACTTCAGGTAGTGAACATAATGCCAGAATTAGCTTCCCTGATCTTGGTTTATTTGAGCCCACACTCTTATTCAGGGAGATGGTACGTGCTTCCAAGATAGCTGTCATGGGCTCCATCTGTGTGGCAGCTTCTCCCGCACTCAGTAAACTGGGAGCGTGTGAAGTGAGCAAAGCAGTGGGATGAGTGTGTAATTCTTGCCATACGCATGGCATGACCTGCTGGTACATCCACTGTGGCTACCATCTGCCTTATGAATGTGTCGGGGAAGGGAGCCATCAGAGGATGAAGCCATGGGGACAAGAGGGATTTCAGAGGCTGGCTGCATCCGGCTTATTCCACCCTTCAAATCCACCATGTGGATCTGCCCTTTACAATCCAGCTAGAGCTGATATGCTGCCCCTTTTCCTGGAGGCCTAAAAACAACCAACCCAAGGTTATGCGCACCATGGAGACCAGTGCAGCCAGGACCACCACCTTTCTCGGGCTATATTGTTCTAAACCAGCCTCCCCAGAAAGGGGCCTTCTGGATGCACCGGACTGCAACTTCCATGCCCGCTGGCTGAGGCATCGTTTAGAGCAAGTCATTCAGTGACCTGGAGCAACCAAAGCAATGTTTTGCCTCACCTCTGACTGTTAAAGACCGTGAGCTATTAAGGGTTGCCAGGGAGGATGAGTGGGAAGCTCACCGTGACTATTTGATCCCCATGGCAGGGATAGCATCTGGAGCAGCCCTCTTACTTTGATAACAAAGAGTGGGGCAACTGTGCAAAAAAGCCCCCTCTCTTGATTAGCTGAGCAGAAGTGGCTCGTTTTTCCAGACGGGACGGGGAGACTAGCAATGGCCACTGAAATGACAGCGAGGAGATGACTGTTTTATAAACGGCATCTTCTCAGACTCCTGCTTGCCGCTTACCTATGAAGCGAACAAAGCTGTTTTTCTTTTTCAAGGTACTTCCTTTGCATGGGCTTCATGGATGCAGAAGGGGCCACACCAGTCTGGGGGCTGTTGTTGGTGTGGATGCTCGGGGCCAGCCAGGGCACATTGTTCAGCTGTGATCTGCGCTACCAAGTTTTCGGGGCAGTGAGGAAAAGGCCAGATTATTACACTGAGGTGGAGAGGCTGCCCTTTAGTATTTCTGCCACTACATGCAGATAGTTGTATGCATCCCATCAATGCCCACATTGAGTTCTTGAAGCCACATCTCCGTGCCAGAACTTTTTATGTGGGGCTCTAGCCCAGCCTTCCACAACCTGGTGTGCTCCAGATGTCTTGGATTACGACTGTTAGCATCCCTGCCCGTGGCCAGGGAATGATGGGAGTGGTAGTCTACACAACTGAAGGGCACCAAGCTGGGGAGGGCTGCATTAGCTGTCCCCCATGGGACAATGTTGCGTTTAAGGGTTTGTGAGAAACAGGCTGTCCTCCCGCGAACGAACAGGGCTCACAGGCATAGCAATCTGGACGTGCCGATTACAGTAACAAAGCAGACCTTTGCTGTCAGAGATGCTCGCTGTGGCGCTCCTGTTCTCTTCTGGTTTCCCTTGGGCAGCTGGCTGGCCACTGTGGGAGGGGGATGCTGGACCAGATGGGCCCCCGGCCTGATCCAGTGCAGCTCTTAGGCCCTTTGCCTTGCAGATGACTCAGAGCACTGCAAGGGTTGCGCGGAAAATCCGTAGCCCACAGCTACCGATACTGCTTGGCTTCAGTCCGCTGGCTCGGAAGCCATGCTTTGCTTTATTTCACAATGATTACTACCCCTCATAGTCCTAAACTGCAGCAAGCAGCTATCTTTGTTTTGTGTGGACTTTCATTGAAAGTATGGAAACCCTGCCCATCTTTATCAAGTGATGTCTTCACTTTCTAGAGATAACAGGTGTTCCCTTGCCATTAACACATGGTTCATTGCTATTAATATGTTCCCTAATCAGCTGTCCGTTTTGATTGTACAGAAACAAATAAACTACATGCCAAATGCCCCATGTCCTCCTGCATTAAAAAAGAAACAACTTCTCAACAAGTAGATGGGGCGGGGGGGGGGGGGAATCCAGTATTTTTCTAGTCAATATGTATGGTGGTGACCACATGTCTGCATGTAGTACTACTTTACTATCTGTGTGCAAGGATGCTTTGTGTAGAAACAGCAGAGCCTCTTTTGGAAACTGCTTGTGTAGGACCAATAAAAAACCAGACTGCAATACAAATCAACAAGTAGCTTCCTCCTTGGACCATTTCAGAGGAAACTTGGATCTTGGGTCAAGCCAAGTATGGGTTGGAAGCTGGTTTTATTTCACGGGGTTCATTCCTGTGGGGGCCGTCTGGCAGAAGAGGTGTGTGCCAGCGGTGGGTGGTGGAGCCACAGCCCAACACGGGAGAAGCCAGCACCAAGCATGGGCGGGGTTTGTAAGGTTGCAGGACTGCGAGACTCTGTGCCTCACTCCATACCCATCTGCCTCAGTCACACCATTTCTGTGAGCTGCCTGCAGAGTTGGTCCAAGACATTTTGCTCTCTGACATGAAGGACACGATGATACCACTTGCCAGTCCACTAACAGAAGCTGACTGGACTGGCGGTGGAATCTTCTTCGATGGAGGTGATGCAACAGCATCCTGTCCACCATGCTTGAGACACCAGGTTGACCGAGAGGGTCCAGGTCTGGTTGTGTGGCACACGCAGCTTGTCCTTCAGCAGAGGGGAACAGGCCAGGAGGCTGTCCCTGCTCCATGAGGCAGTTGCTTCGTTCTGCCTAATGGTGGCATGAAATTAGGAGCACATGAAACTAATCTGAGAGCTGCACGTGGTTTCCTGTTTGAAGCGTCCTTACCTCTAAGGACAAGAGTGTGTACCACAGCTACAGGAAAAGAGTCCTCTGCTTGCCCTGATAAAAACAGTCACTAGTCCCTTTTGTGCAACACGGGAAGAGCTTTCTGTGAGAAACAGTATTAAGAGTAGAGGCATCTATTTCTTTTCCTGGGGAGTGCAAACGGAATTGAATATATGGAGCTTCATGCCCACTGTGGAGCATGATACTGAGACAAGCTGCACCAGTCTAGATTTGTCCTTCTTGAAAAAAAGAATGGAATGGGGCTATGTAAAGTTTACAACAAAATAAATACAGCCTTTTTGTCATGTCATTTGTGATGCTGCTAACATCAAAACCAGGTAAATCTGCACAGAACATGTATATACGTCACAGGAACATAAAGAACTGGAGCTGGAACTAGGACTTGCCCACTGCAAGAGCCCCCGCTTGTGAGCACCCCCTCCCCCCAGGTTTTAGGGACCCCAGACCACTGCTCACCCCATTCATCTCTGTCAGGGGTCTGGACAGGCTGGAATTGAGAGGGAGTGGGCAAGAAGATGCATTTCTTCTGGTGTAGTTGCTCACTTAAATCTGGATCCAACCCCTGATATGTAGAAGTGGAAAAAGGCAAAAATTCCAGGCAAGGGTTGCATAACACAGCGTCTTGGACACTGGATTGGTTCTCTGAGTTAAAGCATCGTCAAAGAGAGTTGTCATGCAACCAAAGGCCTGCTCTTCTCAACCCAAGCAGGTGATCAGATCCCTCCCTCCAGGTGGGGCTATTCAGGGGTGGGGACGCTCCCCTACTCGCCCAGTCTGTCTGAGCACCATGTCACCTTGCCTGCTCCTCCCTTTCCTTCTGATGCCGAACCCTTGGGTCTTGAACTCCCGCCCTGTCCTTCCCTCTGTTACATAGATGCCTGCACTGGCATGGCTGTACAGGGCCTGGCTCCGCTGTTTCCCAAAAGGCTGGGTGATAGCTAGGTCTCCTTCTCTCTCTGTTATTCTTGCTGGTCTTGGTGGTTTATCAACACCACGCCCTGGGTAGCTTATCCACAGTTTCCACCTTACGGCCTGGCTTTGATACAGTTCCCATATCTTCTCATGCCTGCAGAGGTTTAGGGCCCAGTTACTACAGGTATCTATTTCATTCTCCCGGTCAGGCAACGTCACCTACATCCTGATGAACTATGTAGAGTCCAAGAAGGATTTAGAACTGGCGTACATGCGGAACCCCACCTGTGGTGTTGGTAGGTAGGTGTGATCTTCGGAGCTCTAACCAGAGATTCAGCCCATTCCAGTGAGGGGACTCCAGCTGGTCCATGATTCTTACAAAGCAGGGTTACCTCTAGCTGACCTGCGCCAGAGTCTCTCTACTAATGGCGAGAATGAGTTACCAGGACTCACAGGGAAGTCTGAATCACGTGGAACCCCAGTGCTTTTATTGGTGAAGTCACCCAGGGCCCCTGCAGTTTCTTATGACAGCATGCTATCAGGCAGTGGTCTTCACCGCCAGCTACAAGCTTTTAGAACATATACATTGAGGGCCAGTGTGGTGCAGTGGCTAAGAGCCTGGGACTGGGACTCAGGCGATCCGGGTTCTAGTCCCCTCTCAGCCATGGAGCCAACTGGGTGACTTTGGGCCAGTCACAGGCTCTCAGCCCAACCTACCTCACAGGGTTGTTGTTGCGGGGATAAGATGGAGGAGG